CGTACAAGTCTCGAAGCTAAATATTCATGTTCATACTAAACGTTTACAGTGGAAAACTTCTATTCGCTGCATAATGAAAATGCAGCAAATAAAACATTTTCGTTTAAATGTAACCAAAAGGATTTGTGTTGCGTTTGTGACTGCAGTTGCGGAGAAAGTGGAATTGATGTTGGCAATTCTTGTAGCCACAACTTAAATTGATGTTGGAAAAGATACTTTCCCTTGGCGTAACTTTAAATTACGTGACGATGTGCAACGCCTTTAGTTTCATCTATGTTCACATTCGCATTCTTTTAAGCTTCATTCAACGTTGTCACCAACCTTACACGTTGGACGTACACACTTTCGTTTCAGTTTGTATGTTTAGTGTATGTGTTTACGTCCCTCTCCCAGTGCCATATCCAAACTTTTGTAAAATTCTGTATTACGATTTTGTTTAGATTTCGGCTACGCCATTCTCTGTCACCGACAATAAGCGCACCTCTTCAAACAGCTTTCTACGTGGCTTTCTTAGGATTTTCGCCTTAAGTTTGGTGACTTGAAATGAAAGTGAATATGTCGCATGCCCCTATGTATTCTCTATTTTGCGTTTAATTTAAAATAAATTTTCTTGCTTATGAATTGCAATGAAAATAGTTTTTCATAGATTCAAGTACGTTTTCACTATACACGTACTTATGTCATTTCATCGTGTTCTGAAACACTGTTTGGTTACCATTAAAAATTCTTATTACACACAGTCTTGGTAGTCTTGGATGGATTTTGTAGTTAAAATACAATTATCATTGCCGTCAAGCTATGAGAGATTTATGAAATGGTAACTCAGTTGAATTTGTTAAGATTAAGTTATATAGATTGCCAATACCTTTAGTGGAGTTAGTTAAAAAATTAATATTACCATCGTACCATTCAAATAACTTCCAAAATTTCTTACTTTCTTAAATTTTTGTTATTATAACAAGAGGCTTTCAAAGCATCAGCTTATATTACTTACTGAAACAACAACTGAAATTTTTCCAAGGTATCAACAAACAGTAGATGAAAAATCGACAAACTTAAACTACCAATAGAATGCGGTAGAAATATATCACAAAGCTCCTCCAGTATATACTTTACTCTTTTGAATTTTTGACAAATACGATCCTAAGTCATATAAAGCCTAGTTAACATGCTTGTTTAATAACACATGATAATGATAGTATATAGATAATGTAAGTTACCGATTGTTTCGTTGTGGTTTGTTGCTGGTAACAGCCCTTCAAATGGTAAATAACATTATGGCATGGGAGGAAACATAAGAGCTTCGCAATGACAATAAATATTTCCAAGTGGATTTATTGATGTTTGTTTTAATATGGCCAAAAAGTATATACTATTCAAATCAGCATTTTAATATAATATTAGATTCACACTAGAGTTTTGTTTGTAATTTTAGCTGTCAAAAATTTTCTTCTCACAAAACACATAAAATTACAATCAAAACTCTCGCCTAAATCCAGTACAAAGGAGCCTCGGAGTAGTCAAAAGTGATCACTGCGCTATACCTCAGTACAATTACTGAGGTAGTATTGATGCTTAAAGTTATTGGTAAAGGTCATATATATATATATAAATATATTGTGGAATGTTGGGATACCGCATCGTCCAACAAGTGAACCCACTGAAATGAAAGATTAGCCGAAGTACACAACGAAACAACTTGAGTCTTTTTTCGTCCTTCGATTCTCGTATGTCGTTGTTTAGTTAAAGCTACAGTGGATTCCGTTCGCTTGTTAATGCAAGCAGCTTATTTAGCTTGAGGTTACCTGCCAGGTCATCACCAACCCAATGGTGTCCCAAAACAGTCTTCCTTCTGCACGTTGGCACAATATATACACCGCTGTTCCCTTTTCTTCTAGATATAGTTCGCAAGTGTCTTCCTCTGCAAAAGTTATCTTTTTAAGGTGATACTTGAAGTTTCCATGTTCCGTAATCAATGAGGTCAGCTTGATAAAGGTCAAATGCGTTATCATTCGAAAAAATCAGGCAACTGTTTTTCTGCGAGAGCAAGAATATCTTGCTTATTGATTACCTTGAGAGGATTGTACAGTATTCTCATCCAATGATTTTGGTAAAGATAGGCTGTGGTATCATCCAAGATTAGACTATTGTTTGAGTACATTGTGCCGATAGTACAATAGCTGAGGCTGGAGCTCTAAAGTAGGCAAAGGTTAAGACTTTGGCTCTATGCTAAGAGTGACAGATTGCTGAAAGATGGGTTGCTATTTTATTATATTGTGGGGAAGCACATTATGATACATTACCGAAGTTCCGAAATGACTGCATTTGTAAGGATGCATTACAGTAAATATGTGTTGCTTTATATATATATATATATTATTATATATATTATATATATATATTATATATTATATATATATATATATATATATAAAATATGTTAATAATACACCGATTCATATCAAAAAGTTTTGATTATAAAAAGAAATTGCTCACAAATTTCATACTCGTTATCTTCAAAGAAAAAATATTACGGTAATAAAAAAATTAAATCCGATTCACGGGCGATTCAACCCGTTCAGTTTTTGAAATTTTTGGTTTATGTGTGTGAAACGTTTAAATTGGCTCATTAATAATCCTTAAATTGTGTTTGTCGTAATTTGAGTGAGAAGTCAGCATTGAATAGTTAAACAAATTCGACATGCCACCCACTCAGCTTCGCCCCACGCCGCAACAAGGCATTTATTAAGCGATTTTAAAGTACGACATGCAAATACTTTTATACGCCTAATTTGCTAATACTTCAGCAATCCAAACCGAAGAGCAAGACAGCACAGAAAAAAGTGCAGAAATGGGGTCGGAGTGTCCCCTGGGTGCAGTCATAAAAAGTACAAAACATATAAATTTAACGCGGAACGCAAAGGATACTCCTTTGAAAACGCAAACGCGAATTCCGCTTAAAGCATTCGAGACGAAGTTGATCCGTTCGATGCGTTGCGTTGCGTTACGTTGCGTTTCAATTTAAAATTTGAATTAATTTTATTTTTGTTATGTGTGGTGAGTCCTTTTTCGCAAAATATACGCAGTGGGACGAGTATGTTGAAATGTCCTTTTATAAATAGCATATATGGCTGGCATTAAAATGCTACGTATACGATGTCGTCGGTATGAATTTTTTCCGTTTTTAACGGAAAAACGCATGAGTGTGTGGGAAGGCTTATTTAAAAGTGTTGGGAATGTGTTCATGAGCGCGTTTCCACTTGTGCCCCTTGTGACAGTTTTGCACGTGTGTGAATGTGAATGTGAATGTCTGATGGCATTTTCCATTGGACGTAAATAACAATTTGCCCTTTTTTGCATGGGCGTTTCTTTAAATGCTTTAATATTTTTATGACCATACTTTTCCCTTAAAACTTCCTTCATAATTTTATTGTTTCAATTGCTAAAGTTCTACTTCAAGCACAGCTTCTCTGCATGTCGGCTTGTGAGGTCTTCAGCAAATGCCGCCATACTCAGCAATGCCGCCAATGAGGGAAAAGTTTTCCCCTTTAATTGTGCCGAACTGAATTTCACATTAACTTAAATTGAGTTAACTTGAGTGAGTTTGTTTTGAATTTTTTTTTTTTGTTTTTTCTTTTTTTCATTTTACCTCACACATCTTTTATTCTTTCTTTTTCTTTTGTATTATTTATTTTGTAGTCTTTATGTTTTTGTTTTCATTTGTTTTTCTTCGGAGCAGCTAGAAACACAAAGTTTTCTCGTAAAATATTTAACTTATCGACATTTAAACATTTTTTCAGTTTGATATCTTCATATTAGGCTTCTTCATGTTCAGTGTGTGTAATAGTATGTTCAGTGTGTGTTTGTGTGTGTTCAGTGTGTGTTGGTGTATGTTCAGTGTTTAAATACAGTGCACATTAAACTGTTGTTTGTGTGCAAAGTGCAATTTGTTGTTGATTGAGTACAATTTAACACATATCTATTAGGTACGTTCAACATCAACTTTAAAAATTTATATTATTTGCAATTATCGTGTTAGTTTATAAAACTCAAATTAATTTAAAATTTATTTACTTTTTATTTACTGCTAGATTTCTTTAAGTGTTACTGTAAATGCATAATGAAATATTGTAGCATAGGACTAGAAATAGGAATAAACAGGGTACTAGATCACAACGGAGTGAAGCATTGCGACCATGATTGATCTTTTGTGCTGCAACAGACCCTAACCGAACAAAAGACATTCCGTCTTCCGAATTAAAGCGAGTATGTCGGCCGTTAAGACCTCCTAATATCAGAAGGGGAGAATAGTTCTCGACCCAGTGACCTCTTCCTGGCCCAGATCAAAGCTGGAAATATTGTAGAAATATTGTTAAAAAATCGAAAGCTAAAACTTACTAATTTAAATCCAAAAAGTTAATATTTTCACGGGTTGATATTGACGCTTACAACTATTATTTAAAAAATATAAATACAAATTAGTCTACAAAAACATAAGTTAAAATTTTTTCGTAAGTATTGTCGTTAGTTACTTGGATAAGGACTGAATGAAATATATATTAGTTACTAATAGGCTGCTGCTGACAACTGCATTAAAAATGGAAGGTCTTTTTTCAAATTCAGATTCATATGTCTGCAAACGACCCAACAAAATGACTAAAGATCGCACCACAAAGGTTAGAAAGGATCTGATCGTTTTCTATTAACTAATAATGTCTGTCTTTTAAGAGGAAAAAACTTAGTTTTATGTTATTTTATTTCATATTATTTATTTTATTGTATATTTTATTTTATTTATTTATATTATGTTATTTTTATTTCATTAAATTTTTATTTATTCACTAATTCAGAAAATTTTGTTATATTACAATTTTTACTATTGATTTGGAACTTTGAAAATAATACAGGAATTTTTTCTTTACGTGTCTTGTATTCATTCATAAAATTTTAGTTGTACTTCTTCTAAATTCAATACCAATACTCCTAGAATGTTTCTATAATTTCTCCATAATTTTTTTTTTTTGATGCTCTTTTCAGTTCTCCTTGTCTTCTTCCTTTTTAATTATTAGGATATCCACATTCTATTCGAGAATCTCTAACTAATAAACAAGATTTAATCACTGTTGTAAAAATATAAGCTATATACTTACAAGCCTATTTAAATAATAATACATTAAGTGGATGTACTGTATGTACTGGATGTACTGGATGATCTGTTTGAAGTTCATATATAAGTTAACCGTCGATGAATGTAAATAAATTATTTTACAAGACTTTAGTTGAGATCTGATAATGAAATATATCTTTTATTAATATTTAAATATTTTTTAAAAAACATTTATTATCATTTTTGTTCAAACCTCCAGTTCTCTCATCAAACTGGAACTTTGTCACCGTCATGCCCTCACAACCAAAACATGGTTATAAAATTAGGTACTCAGTATATCGATTAATAACAATACCCAGTCACAGTGATGGCTAGTAACTGGTAAACATATGATATACTTAGCCCTACCAATATCTATAGTGATGGCTTAACTATCCACAAGTAATAACTACTCCGATCAATTTTTTATACAGTAAACGTTGAAGCTTAAATGTATATGGTGATAAATAATGAAAGACAAATAATATATAATAATAAATATAATAAATATATAATTTATTACAAATATATATAATAAATATTATAACAAATATATAATAAATATTAGATTGAGAATTCAAATGTATATGCTGGTAAATAATGAAGTGACAAATCGTATATAATATATAATAATTAATATATAACAAATATAATATATAAATAACAAATATATAATATGTATATAATACATTGAGAATCAAATAATTTTCTGTGTCTGTCCGTCACAGAGAATACCCAAAGGTTATTCGAAACATGTTTCCTTGTCCTCTACGGTTACCATTGACGCATTTCGCCTGGGAACTATTCAGACTCCATCAAAGTGCATCAAAAGAAAATTTAAGTATTTATGAAAAACGTCCGTCTATTTATGTCTTGTATTCATTTTTCTATCTCCTGTACGACTTATAAGAAATACTTACGATATACATATATATTTTTATTTATTTAAGATACCTTCTTTATGATTTTCACCTTCCCATATAACATATGAAAAATACATAACTATGTGCTCAAATATATATTTTAAGTTGCCTCTACATGTGTCTCCATACTTATTATATACATATACATCGTGCTTACATATTTTTCAACTTACAATTACACAGCAGTGCCTTCCTAGTCCACGTCAAGAGACTCGTATTGATTACCGATTAGTAATATTGAAACCAATATAAATGTTGTCCAATATTCAATGTTCAATAAAAATTTATCATCCATTGAGAATTTAAATAGTGTAGTCAAAGTTAAGTAGGGCAAGTATTAGATTTCGTTTATTTCTTAAATCTCCTTGCCCCAAAATGTGTCATCGGTAGATGGCGCGTTATTGCTGAAGAGCAGTTAATGTACGACATATAATACAAGCCACGTTTTTCTCATGTCGAAAAATTCCATGTTCTTTAATAAATAAACAAATAAAAAATTATAGACTTATGTAAATGTATCTACGTAATATTAATTTCTATTTGTTTGTACTTTAAATATATACAGAGTAGTCTGTATATGAAACTATATTGAATTTAATGTCTCTGCTCCGTTACAATTATTTTTAATCTTTTAAATTTATTATTTAATATAATACTATAATATTAATATACACAATATGCATATATTAATATATAATAGTATAAGAAATTTATATGCATTTAAAGAATACTTTTTCAGCATTACAGCTATCAAGATACCTGTAGAGAATAAGCCTAACTCTTCATTAGCTGTACTTACTCTTAGAGTCTTTGTCGTTTGAGCTGTTGTCTTCCATTTTGTCTTCAATAAACTACAATAATTCATTAATCAATAAATATTACTATATAATTTATTGACAAGCATAAGTATTCAATATTAGCTTACCTGTAGTAAAGTGTCTGCGGACCATTCTCCTTCCTCTGCCTGACTTATGAAGAAACTGCTCATTAATTTTATAAATTTCGACATTTTGGCTAATTAACGATTGAATTAGCTAAAATGTGTTTGAAAGAATTTAACACATTGTAATCGGAGAAAAATTTTGAATACTATTTGTTGATAAATTTTTTTTAAGTATTTTTTCTATCAAATCTTAAATATTCACATTTCTAAATTATCTACGTTTACTTATTTTAAAAAGAGATAACAAGTTTTTGATATTAAATATTAGTAATCATGATTATTGACAAGAATATAAAGGACGTAACGGACCATCGAAATATCTCTATTGATCTGCGCTGCATTGGGTTAAAAAGCATAACATTTGCAAGTAACTCGGTTTCTTTTAATCCTGAAGATCCTTATCGCCAAAGCATAACTCAATAAATGTCTAAATTCCATATCGGCTTACCTGTAATAAAATCTTGACAGTTTTCCTCACGAGTAATAGAACTGGTTTGGACTTTATGAAGTAGATGACGTGGGGCTAGAACAGCCCTATCCCCGCCGCTGCGTCAGTAAACATAAGTCTTTTCTGGTGAAAAAAAACATTTGAACGCTTATAATATAATGGAACTACGAAGACATCTACGCTTTTACGTTCATATTGGGCAGCATTCATAACGCGTATGGTTGATTATAGAAACCTCCATTGTCATTTCAAAATTACTCCACGTAATGTGACGTCAGAAATGTGTTTTAATTAACTAAGGAACGTATATATATTTGATATTGTAATTTATTTATATTTGTATATACGTATGATTTTCAAATTTTATTAACTTTCGTTTTGTTAGTATATATAACTCGTAAAAGATTCTATATTTAGGTTGACATGTAGGTAAATAAGTCAAGTAAGCTAGGTTAGATTAGGTTATACCAACGATCCTAATGCACTCACTTAGGTCTATAGGCTCTATAGACCGTAATATTAAAAATTTAATGCTTAAAACCACTTGGAACTTTTGGCAAGGCTTATAATGCTATTCAGAGTGAGGTCCTGAAGTTCGCTAAGATCCTAAATAAAGAAATCCCCTAACGCAAAGCAGATGGGAGCCACTTTCATTATCATCAGCTCAACTACGATTTAGTCTCCCTGTGGTTACCTAAATACAATGTAAATCTGCTACAAGACTGATATCGCCATGGGGCATCTCAATGACAGGCTTTGATTGTACATTATTAGAATGTGGCATGCAGCTGCCTGCAAATCGTTGAGTCATCCCATCTTTTGTTAAAAAGTTCGGCACAGAAACTCAGTGCCAGTTTGCATGATGTCAACGATATGCCCAGATCTTGCAAGTTTAGATCTTCCAAATGATTTCCTGAAGCACCCGCCTGGCTAGCTCAACTGCTTTGCAATTGCCAAAAATATCCCTATGACCTGAAACCCAGATTAGAAAAATATTGAACTGCGTCGATATCATATTTAGAGATATGTAGCAGTCAACGACTGTCCTAGATGTAAATAACATTTTACTAAAATAGATTCAAATTAATATACTTAATTATGAACTGCATTAGCAATATGGTGTGGGAGTGTACAAGTTATTTGCAGTGTATATCCGGCAAAACTTTAACAAAAAGTCTGTTTTCCTTTTAAAATTGAAAGTACTTAAAATTTTTTTTCTTGATATAAAATAAAATAAAAACTGCAAAAGTTATTTAAGTAATCTTTTATTTATATTGCATTATTTATACGCACGTCAAAATATTTACAAACACACTTTTGTATTGACATTTCCATTAATTTCACATTTTTCCTGACCAAAAACTCATTTCGTCCTGGATTTTAGCACCCAAATTAGCTTCAATTATTTTCCGTTTGTTAAAAAAGAAGTTTTTGATAAATTACAACTTATTCATTAAGTACACTGGAAAAAATAAGTAACATTAGTAACAAACAAATTATTGAGGATTGTGAAATTTCTTCACATATATAATAATACTACAATTAATCAATAGAATATTAAAAAACATATTTGTAGTGCACATAGCACTACATATAGTTCAAGGATGACAGAACTAATAACAGTTATAAATAATTTTCAATAGATTACGTATTGCATGAAAAACGGAAAGCACCCTATGGATAGAACCACTTTCTCTACCGATAACAAAGGCTGGTAAAATCGATAATAATATTGACATCATTACGGGAGTAATTCAAGAACGACTTTATTTACATCACTAAAATCAATATTAAAATAAATATCTTATTTTTTGCTTATAAAATTAATATACATAGGTATTGAAATAAATAGGGATGCCAGTTCTCAAACCGCGGAGCTCTGTCCTCATTTATTTATGTCCTTTGAATAAACAATTAAAGAAGAAAAACCGGGCTTCGGTTATTTAAAACTTAAATTGTTAATAAGTAAGACTTACTAATTTTTGTTAAAATTTTTATTATAAATTAAAAAAATATGGCGTTTTTGTCAAGGCAGGGGTCTATCTTCTAATATTCCACCTCTTGAATACGTTACTCCCAACGAACTAATAAGTACTTTTGCTCTAGGAAATCAATGTATATCTAACCTATTTCATCAATTTATTATTTCATAGACTTGTAGGATATCAAGAAATCAGTTTTAAAATGATTTGGATGAAAAATCTCAGCATGTTTAAATCCTAAAGTTAGCTAACTTAAAAAATATTTTTAACAGTGCATGTTGTGCAATTTAAATTAAAATCTGCTCGTTCGCTGTTATTATTTTTAAATAACATTTTATTAAAGCAATTTATTGCCGAAAACTTTTACTGGTTACACACCAGCGGGCATAAATACAACAACAACTACAGCAACAACAGCAACAACAGCAACAACAATGTGAGCAACAGCAGCAACAACAAGAACTGTAACAACAGTAACAGCGGACCCGCATGGAAGACAGCTTGCCATGGAAGATTGTATTGCCATGTGAGCTGCACTATGCCGCCAATCCCGAATATTATCAGCAACAACGCACTAAAGTGGAGACAAAATAAAAAGTACATAAAAGCTAAAAATAAAAGGAAAAAATAAAATAAAATTATTACCACTGCGACGCATATTAGAAAGTTTACGCACACGACGGCGGGTCTTTTGTCAGTTCAGACCGAAAACTTTGCTCCCATTATGACAGCACTGGGCAGAATATTGCCATGTATCCTCCGCCATATTTTCCAAAATTTTTTTTTGCTCTTAAGCTACTTCAGTCAAACAAAAAATAAAATCAAAAAAAAAAACACTACAGATAAATGTACGATAAAGACTTTCTATAGTATTAAAAAAAAGATCGTCACATCGGGGAAGCAGAGAACGTGGGGGAACGACACAAACACTCCACACTCCTCACTCCAAGCTCCAGTCTCCACAGACAAATCCTAATAAAAAGCGTTAATAGGATAATGTCTTAAAATTAATGCTTATTTTTCACTTTCTTAAGATTTTCTTTTTTATTGTTTATTTGTGCGTATATATTTCTTTTCGTATTACAACGCTACAAATAACGTTATTGGGAGGAATAAAAAGTTGATAATAAACTCCCTAAGTACAAAATTAAATTGTTATTTAATTTTTATCATGGCAACATTTGCACTTAGCAAATGCAATTTAGCCCAGCAACGAACGAAGCCATAAAATGTCGTCCTGTCGGTATCCTAGTTAGTATCCTAGTTTGTTGAATGGGTGTGGATGGATGCGTGTGGGCGTTGGATAGGCCGTAACTCGACAGCTGTCAAATGAGCTCAATAAAGCAGCAATTGCATATAAATTTCCGAAACCTGATGTATTGAGTAGGTGTGAAAACAATGCCAGACTAGCCAATAAACAAAATCATAATAATACAAAAGTCATAATTAGGCCAAACACAATAACCAGAAGTTTTTGATAAATTGTTAAAATATTCTAAGCCGGTCGATTAAGCCTTTAAGTCACCACTACTTGCTAGTGTAAAAAATATTGTATATTAACAGTTTCTAAAAAAGGTGTAAAATTTAACTATTATGTTGAGCCTTTTTCGAGTTAGTACATCTGGGCACTTTTACTCTATGATAGCTTGGGGGATTCTGCAGAGTCCCGCCCATCTTACTGACTAATTTGAGTATTCCTGATAATCTTCGTGATTATTCACTGATTGATCTAAGATCTGCGTACCGCCCCATGCGGTTAGTGATTACTCTGAGATTAGATAGTGCTAAGGGGAGCAGGCTGTCGGTTTTCGCATATAGCTTCATAGCTCTGTCCCTTTTGACCGGATCTATTCTAAGGTCTCTTAGCATGTCATTCGTGCGAATGTACCATGGTACTTTAAATTGACTTCCTCAGAAATACTCTAATACTAATTATTTTTACATAATTATAATATAAATAAATTAATTCCTCTTTAAAAGAAAAGTATGGAAATTCAACAATTAAAAATAAAAATATAATCAATTAATTCAATTATTCTACAGCTGGTTCATGATTTCGTTCTAATATGAACTCAATAAGTGAAAGTTCATTAACAAACTTTCACAGCAAATTAACAAAGCTCCAAGTTCGAACATACGATTCAATACGATTTCAGGTCAGTTGGCTAATGAGCGCTGACCCTGAGCTTCAAATTTGGCAGGGTACGTGCTCAATCCTTGGCACTTGCAGTCTGAAAAAAATTATTTACGAATAATTAAATACAAGAAATAATTCCAAGAGCACTGATGTTGGATATTTGACAATATTCGAAACAACTCTATGGCTAGCCAAAAATTTAATTAATTAAGAATAATTAAAAATTGTTTATTGTAGCAATTCACTACTGTTCGTCAAAACCCTTTATATTGAAAACAATAGTTTATATTAAGAATTTAGTTTCTATCGCAAAGACTCACATTTAAAATCAATATATTCATAATAGATTAATTAGGTGCTTTCGGTGGCTCGCAAGTGTGGCAAAAAACAGCATGCTGCCCTAAAGACGCTAAGCGAGACATTGGCATCACTGCTGCAATCTGTCAAGTGTTGTGTTTTAGCAAATAGCAAATCCTGTTTAGCCACTTCACTAATTCCCCGTTTGAGTAAACGGCGTAGAAAATCTTCCACGATTTATTCGAATTAAGTTTTGTGCTTACCAGTCGGAATTACTATATGTCGTTCAAGAACAGGAAAAATAATACTTTTTCGTTACCTGTTGTTTTTCTACTGACAAGCAAAGACATGTTACACAAAATATCAAGTCACGGCGAATATCAAACGAATTCGCTGAATTTTTGACGGCAAGTAAAAACGTCAAATGCTTAACGTTAGGAAAATAGTGTACGCAGATAGCCAAATTCGATATAAACAGTCTATCAAAAAGGCTAATTCCCCGTTTGAGTAAACAGCGTAGAAAATCTTACACAATTTATTCGAGTTAATTTTTGTACTTACTAGTCGGAGTTACTATATGTCGTTCAAGAACAAGAGAAAGAACACTTTTTCGTTACCTGTTGTTTTTCTAATAACAAGCAAAGACATGTTACACAAAATATCAAGTCACGGCGAATATCAGTCGAATTCGCTGAATTTTTGACGGCAAGTAGATAAAGTGTGGATTACACGCACGTACAATCATGGGATCAAGAATAAAGTGTGCGATATTCGCTTTTAAAACATTATTTATGTTTATTTGTTATAAATTTTTACAAATAATTCAAACTAAAAACCATTTTAAGAAAAATTTTTTATTCCCACGTAGCAAGTGTAAAGTATGTATATGTTAGACGTATTATTATTACTCACTTTTTGATCCAATCACATGTATTCAAATGCTTGTTTATAGTTTCTTCTAATAAAAATGAATCTAAGCCAAATTTAAAGCAGATAAACTCACACACTTTCCATGATATGGAGTACATATAAAGTTACCTTAACGTTACGTCAAAACCATGTGTCTGCAATTTTTACACTCACATTTTTATTCAAGATTGGAACTATTTTCCTTCGTATACATACTACTATTTCCACATATAGTACATCAATAACTAGGGACTCAGGGGAAATTAAGAACGAATCTTCAATATCAAATGTGTGTCCATAGTGCAACTCAATAAGCTCGAATAGTGCTACGTAACAGGAATGCCAGTTACGTCTACGTAATAGACATAATACAGATGAATTTATTGGAAGCACATTGCATGCAAATGTGTGAAAATTACTTTCAAATGCGTTCAAACTATCTTTATTAAGAGTTAAAGATTTTTATTTTGCTTGCAATGTTGAATTTTATTTACATTTGGATTTTATACTTTTTAGATAGAGAAACTCTCATTTTCTAACAATACAAACATCTATATTATTAACATTTTATTTATTATCTTTATTACTTATAAATACAGAAATACCTGTGTACACAATTAAAATTGCTTATTCTAAAAATAAGATATGACACAACAACGCTAGGTGTATTCTTTTGACATGAATGCTTAAATAGAACACATGTCGCTTAAACATTCACATGCAAAGCAAAAACAAAATTCGCCAAAATAAGCCCACTTTCCTGAAAGTACTTGAAGAATAAGCCACTCGCATTACAATGGTGCCAAATCTTAAAATTGAACTATCGTGAATGATATTTGGAAGAAGATCAGATGATATTTTAAAAAGTAATTTTTTAAAAAAATTTGTGAAAATGACTGATAGCTTAGTAATAGTGAAGAAGTTATTTATTTATTAAGCAGTTCTTGATTTTTTTTCTCTATTTGTACTTCTGGACCAATAAAAAAATGTATTGTTTCCTATCAATTGAAACTTAACATCTGATTCCTTATGACTAAATTATTGCATCTGTTAGGATTATAATGAATTTATATATTTATTTTTTTGCTAAGTAAAATTTATAAAGTAATGCGAATTATGTCGAATTCAATGAAAAATATATATATTAATTAAAGAGGTTAGCCCAGGCCCAATTGCTTCGTTATAACGCACAATTATGTCAGATTTTTGATTGTGTCGGATCTGTAAAATTAAATTAAATGTTTTTCCAACAGTGCACTACAGTATGGAACTGGTAGAGCTGGTAATATAAGTGAGAAAAATATTTACTTATATTTACTATTATTTACTATTATATACTAATACTTACTAATATATACTAGTTGTGCTAATATATGTTCATTTTTGGAAACAAATTTTTTATTGATACTACTATTTAAAAATTCAAAAAAATTCCTTAATACTTTATTTAAAATACAACAGGGAGTTTAAAAAATTTTTAATACCTTTTCATGCGACTTTCCGCGAAATTTCAAATTATACTTCAGTGGTAAATGCGGATAATATTGTTTGGCATTTTGTGTTTGATTGGCTTCCGGAATGGATATCAGCAAAGAGGTAATATACTAGTACTAATAATGTTTCTATAAACATTAAATATTATGTACTAATACTTGTGAATTATGCCAACAAACTTCTTGCGATAAGATAGTTTGAACTCTTATGAGAAATTTTTGGACAGATTTCATGTCATAATAACGATTACAATATATATATTTTATTAATATATATCTATTCTTGTTTACAGTTAAAGGAATACAGGGTTACTGGCCGCAAATGGTTAACTAAAAAAAGGAAGGAGTCGGTTAATTTCCAAATGAACGTCTTCGCCTCAAACAAAGGTGATGCAGAAACTGCTTTTTGGTACTATGCCATTAATATGGAGGATATTAAGAGGAAATATGCAGATCTTATTTCATGTAAGCGCATTCGTGGATCAACTCGTAGAAAGAAAAAGTTTGCATTTTGGATCACCTATGGTAAACGTACTGGTTTCAAAGACACAACTATGGTACAGAGAAATTATTGCGTCAATAAGGCTTGTACGCAATTATTATGGCGTTTGGGCGCCCGTCGTCGTGCTGCGGCAAGTTTCAAGGCGATTTTTGATATGGATACTGGATTTATTAGCGGAGACAATTTGTAAAATATTAATTTCCTATATTAAGTAATTCAGTTATGAATAAAGTTGAACATTAAAAATTACTTAGATTTTTAATTAATTATTAATATTATTAATTAATTAATAATAAAGCAATAAAGTGAATATTTAAAATTGCCATATGCAGCAAGCGCTTGACTAAGGTTTGTCTGTTAACCACATAATGATATCTACATAATAACAAAGAATTTATCTTTCATAGTTAGCAATAGTGTAAACTTATATAGTTAAACTGGCATCAACTATTTAGAAAAAAAATTAATTAACCAACTCCACAGCTCATACCAAGCGTCCTCTATAATAAATAATGATGGAAATGTGGAGGTATGTGAAGAATGCACTGGAATGGATATACAGTCTCGTTAACGCGACTGGAGCATTGTGAAGGACTACAAAAACCTTAGCGGTATTTCGTGTTGGATATATGTGATTAAATACATATATATACATTTCAAAATTTGGACGAATAGGTTGTGAAGAATTTTTGATTTAACTAGCACTCAAGGAAAAAGTTCGTGTGTAATAAGAATATTGTAAAGATTCTGATAAGCATATAAGACATTCAATCGTAGTCAGTCCAACTCCTCCACTTCAAGTTTTACAAAATTGTATGCTCTTATCTGCTTTTACGTCTTACAGTTGGTACCAATAGAGACGCTGTATAGATCATCTATAGGAGTGTTATTTATTATTATTAAAGAAAACTCTCAAGACGTTATTATGTGAATTTAGCTCTGCCTATTTTGCTAATTAAATTTACAAAGTTATTGAATCCATTCTTCTATTTGCAACGTTTTTTACAGAAAACTATTTTAAAAGAATGTAAGTTGTCTTTAATCCATTTCAATTATAAATAAAATACAATAAATTATAGTTTGGACCACATAATTTTATTGAAGCCAGATATTTAATATTTTTTATTAAATATAATTGTTTAGACAGTATTAGGTATTTACGCAGATCACAAAAATTTTCAAATTAAATTGAACAAATCAAAACAACTGATTATGATACCAAAAATTTAAGTAGATGTTCAAATAAGTAAATGTTCGCTGCTGATTAATTAACACATATCAGTCTTCTTTTAATAGTTCATCCCCGCTCTCGTCAGCATCCACAGTACCCGCTCCTGTACACTTGTTGTTATAAACTTCATTTAGAGTCATACCCTGAGCAGCAGGTTCTTTGCTTGAAGCATTAACATCATCTTCATGCAGCCGAATTATTAATCCATTCAATTTTGGACAAACCGAACAGCAGTACCTCGTCGTAGTTAATCATTTCTATGTAAATGCACAATGCCATGAGTGATTGGACTGCAGCCATTTTGAAGAACAGAGTAGCTATAGTATTGATTTCCTTATATTGCGAGAAAACAAGACATAATATTATCAGGCAGACTATTGAAATTTTATCAGTCAACGAGGCATTATTATTAACATCCGAAAAGAAAGCACACATACGATAATAAACGTGTTCAATGGGAATAATGAGTTTAGAGATGAGAGATCTTTTTGATTCCAAAATCATGTATGGAGTTTGACAAATTTCACAGCACAATTTGTTGTCAATATCTGCTTTGACCTTATACAATTCCCACTTTTTAAGGCAATCCTGATGTACCCATTTCGTATCACCTTTGCATTTACACGGATGTATAAAGGTACCTTCGTCGTTGTTATCGGTGGAGTCGAAACAAATTCTACACGTGTACATGATTTTCAAATTCAATAGGAATTGTCTACAAAAAACAAAAAAAAAACATTTTTATAAAAGATATATAAAAATGTAGGCATTATAATTTAACTAGAATGAATATCTAATAATTAAGTAAATATATTCATAATAACAAATAAATAAATTATTGCATACATAAATCCATAGAAATAATAATATTCATATTGATTTTATATAAAAAATAGTATTAAATATTATTATTCATATTTCGTCTGTTATATTTTTATATATGTATATAAATATAAAAATAAACAATTAAACAAATTTTATGTACATCAAGTAATAATAAATTAATAATTGAGTTAGTATTTAAAAATTAATGATAAATAAATTTATTTTAATATACTTAAAATAAAATTAAAACAGATAACTAATAATAGTTAAGTTCTAATAAATAAATAAATTATTATAATAGTTAAAAATATTATGGTCCATTAGACCATTTATTGCAACCTTTACAAACCCGATTCTTGGAAAGCCACACTATATTATCATATATATATATACAGCTTCTGACTAAATACAGACTTTAGTCATATAAGTATATTCTTAAGAAATATTTCTATAATTCTTTAAAAATTATTTTATACGATGACCTGATCGCATGTATAGGGTGAAGTACAGACGTATAGATGCACAGACTTCGTCGAACACATTAATCTGCAGCACTATATATAAATAGACAAATAGATATATAGGTGTATATATATAGATATATATAGATATATAGAACATATAGATAACTAAATACTGATTTAGTTGCTGTAGATGTATATGATGAAGAAAATATGTGAATCAAAATACCTAAGAAGTGATCTGTATCATCACTTCTTAGGTTCTGTAATACAGAACCCAGTTTAATTTTATTGTTCTTTTGGGACAGTCTTACAAGAGAGTAGGCCTAATGTAAGTGATGTTAACTAATGTTTGTTAAATAATTATCTTTATTATAGCATTTGAGTAAAACATAGAGATCTTAAGATTGATTCAGTGAAAAAATATATCAGAGACAGAGCTCTAAAATTATTCACTAAAGTTGATACGCTAATTAACCCCGCCCTAACAATCCTCAAGTCCACTTCTGAACTCTCAGGAAGATATGCTGATTTAAGGTCCGTCATCAACTAAGACAAATAAATGATATGATTTTTTTTTAGCCTATTTAAAGCCTAGTGTGGGGTAGAGATAAGCCCCCCAGCCATTATAGAGTAAAAGTGCGTAATAGCACTAACTCAAGAAGAAGAAGAAGAACCTATTGTCAGGTTTCGTATTGTAAAAAGGTAACATATAGTTTCATGAGTTTTAATTTATATTGAAGTCAAAGGTTGAAATACGTGGCTTTCGAAATTATTAAAAATAAAAATTATTTGAAGGAAGATTTTAATACAGACGATTTTCTTAGTTGTCGCACCTCTCTAGAGCTAAGTAAGATGTATACGCTATGACAAATCATTTTAGATTTAAATGAATTTTCTGATATAAAAGTAAGTCTTTTGACATTAAGCGGCGTCCTTTACGTTGGTGTTACTCTTCCATTCTCTAAACTATTAAAAATCTCTTATTTTTCGAAAAAAGAAGGTTGAACCTATTTTAAAGAATATAATAAAATAAATATCCTTTCTATTGATATTTTATTGATTATATAAATTGTAGAAAGTTTTTCTCTTTGAAAATACTGACTGAGCAGAAATCCACTTCCTGCATATTAAAGGTGCGTAATCTCTCAATTATCCGTAAGGATTTTGCTGTTATTCACTTTTACTGTGTGTTTTGAAAATCAATTTTGCTTGCAGCTATTACACATGCCACATCACAACAACAATCTCCCATTTGAACGTACTACAACAATGCTAAACTTTTCTCACCTAAACACTTTGAAATCGAAATGACAAAAGGATTGAGGAAAAAACCGTTAAGCAAAATCAGAGCAGATAATTTGCATGCAAGTCCTGTCATTGTCGAGTGCATGCACAAGTTTAACGTGCATGCGTTTTCGCAGCATCCTTTGAAATGTAATTTTCGCAAGTAGCATCTTCCTTCAGTGCGAGACAAGTGAATACTAAAAGTAGGTTGACAGTGCTTAAAGTCATTTTTAAAAAGTACTTTTCTGCTAAATTTAAAGTTGGTTTTGAATATAATGTCCGTTTTGTTTTACTTTTACCCATTGTCTTTATTTGAAGATTTCCTTTTTTATATCCTTCAGAAACTTTGAACGTAATAAAAATTTAATTTCATTCCAATAATGAAAGAACCCAGTCCACATCTGTTGTGTTAGGCTGAAAGGATTGTATAAACTGAAAGTAAAGTAAAGTAACCGTTTCTTTTAAAAATAATTTATAAAGAGGTTCCTCATAAATTTTTTTTCCCCATTGCAAATATATTACAACATTTAAACAGATTAAATGGAATGCAATAGTACAATTATCAATCTTTTCATTCTTATTATAGACAGATATCATAGCAACACAGCAAATTCTACTAATTTTTGAGATAATCAATTTTTAATCACTGTGATTAATAACACCGAAAGCACCGTTTATGAAAAAGTAGACAGCGGTTCCTAACAGAAGAGATATAGCAGTTTATCAAAATCCAGCTAGGCTAGGATACGCACTTATGCTTTCCCATGACATTATGACATATAATATTACATTATTAAAATAGTTTACCATAATAATATTATAATATACATTATTATTGTAAGACTTCACCTTTAGTACAACATTTATTGTTAAAGCTGCGAAAACCTAGACGAAGAAAAGACAATCACACATTGTAGACTGTTTATCTACTCATTAGTAAAAACAAAAGATCTGGAACACTCAACTCAATAGATTTAGTTTGTCTACGAAGGTTTCTTGTGCGGAATGTATTATTAAAATGGTAGATAAATGGAAATTATATGAGGCGGTAGAGTATATGTCGAACAGCCACTTCAACTAAGCAACTAACCACAATGGATGTATTGCATAAAACCCAAGCTAATCTAATCTTGGATATAATTAAAAACAAACTTGTGTTGTTGTTGTGGTTTCTTGAATTTGTGCTCTTGCGCACTTTTACTCTTTTGTGGCTGGGGGCTTATCCCTAGCCCACACTAGGCTTTAACTATGCAGGAACTCATATCGTTAATTTATCTTTTAGTTGATGGCGGTTCCTAATTCCTGTGGGTCCTGAGATGGACGTGAGGTTTGTTAGGAAGGGGTTGGGCAGCGTATCAGCTTTTGTGAATAATTTTAGGGCTCTATCCCTGATATATTTTTTTACTGAGTCGATCCTTAGATCTCTGTGTATATCTGTTTTTTAATATATCATGAAATATTAAATAAGCTTTTACTACAATATTTACGCCTTGACTTTAATCACAATAAACAAAATATGCAGTTATCGTAATAGTAAAAAAAAGTTATGACACATATATTTATTTCATATATTTTTTTATTAACTGTATATCTCTTATCAGTTCTGGTAAAATTAATTATCAATAGCACAAGTTGGTGAGTACTTCTATTACAATGTGGTAAAAATTATTATTGGAAAGTGTTTTTATCTAGTGATACTTGAATATTCTGCAGTGCCAGAGCGGTTCGTTCAATTTTTCCAATGAAAGTTTTTATTTTCCGATCAATTATTGTAACAAAGTAGGCATAAATCTTGATTAAAGTTACATCGATTTTAACATTTCTGAAAATTTAGTATTAGTTTTTGTCGTTTGGTTGTGTTTGAAAAACACATCTTGGATTAGAAGGACGGAAGGAAATCTGATACTTTCTGACAATAACTTAAACGTTACTAAGGTAAGTAAACCAAACCTAAACGATAATACTATAGTATTTGCAAATATTAAATGATATGTAACAGCCATAGATTTAGTATATAGTACCAATATTGGTTGTCTTACGTTGAGAAATGAGATATAAGAAAATTATCTACGGCGAGTGCCGAAAATGCCAAAAGCACATGATATTATACTCTTCCAGTACCTGCCACAGTTGCCACAAAAAAGAACTTCAATCATTAAAAAGACAGGTTACAGTAAGTTACTTTTCTATGGAACTATAATTATATTGTATTTTTTTTTCTTTTTTACTTATAACACATTTATTATGTACATATATACATATTTACATTAAATAAAATATTTATTGTTTCGATTAAATCTTAGAATGGTAAAGGCTGTTGCATCCATACACTTTTAAAGCAGTTTGAACATGTGAGTTACTATAATATTATTTATTTTCTTTATATATTATTTTAAAATGATTTATTCTAGTTAATAAGCTCTTCTTTCCACAAATATAGTAAATTAATTTTATTAGTTTTTAATCATTTTTCAACTACCTTCATTAGTCATCTTCGGGTTAAATAGTGATAAGTGACGAAATTATTGATGATGATGATCATCATTATCAGTACTTGTAAAGTTTTTAATACTTAATAAAAACTTAACTTCTAATAAATAGAAGATTGTTTTTCCTTGTAATTGAACTTTAACTTAAGTTGGAAATAAAAATATATATCACTTCTTCACACAAGAAAGAATAACGTAAAAATGTGGAATAAATAATGTCTCCACAAAAAGAATAGTAGCAAAGCTTCAAAAATTAAATAATTATATTAGTCGATTAGTTCTCAACCAATCTATTAGTTGTGTAGTATTCTTTTTCGTTATATATAATTGACTAAATTTTATATAATTTATTATTGTTCTTGTTTTTTTTTATTTTATTTTTATTTAGGTTCATTGCAATTGTGAGCAGAAGAGGCGATTTACAAAACCAACTTCAGACGTCCAAGTGGGCAATAAAAATAGTGAGGAAAATATCTACGTTAATCATTTCGTTAAACCTTTTAGTTTGTTTTCAAGTTCAGATAATAATAAAGATGTCTTTGAAACGAAGGAGTCATTATTTGAGTATAGAAAACCAATGAATTTGTTTGAAAACGCTTCACGTTTATCGGCTAACATACAAAAAAAACCCTTCGATCCAGTTTTAGCATTAGTTATAGTACAGAAAGCAGACCAAATGTTCAGTAACATCAAAGTAAAAATAGGAAAGCTGCAACCAAGTTTGAAAGTTTATGATGCAGCAAACAATGACAAGCTTCAACAATTATTGATGATTACGTTTCTTGTACAGAAAATCCTGGACGATCTTTTGAACTCAGCACTAAATGACAGTACACTAACTAATACTCGTAATGATACGCAAGCCACGGAAGTGATTTTTCAACTTTCACGATTAGTTGCAACGTCTACAGAAGTTATTAATAGTTTTGGAACTGTTGTTATTAGCCAAGTTAATAGTTTCCAAATTGCAAACAATAATGAATGCGACACACTTTTCAATGATGTTTGTAATATTCTCAGTACTGAACAGGCTTTATTTGATTTCGGCGATCTCTTAACGGATATACTAACCAATGGAGCGGAATCTCAAGACTTATTAACAACTGAAATAAGTTCCACGCCATCCGCTACTTTGCTATACAAAAACTTGGTGGGTGATACAGGATATCAAAATGAGAGTCCATTTGCTTTTAAACAAACTACGAAACCAGTGAATATATCTTCATTTGTTAATGAAAACGAAATGTTCGTCTTTTCAGAAAAAACCACGAGCGATGATGATTTTGATAAAAAAATTGATGGGAATGAGGTAAAGATTTGGGAAGCAGATGAGAAAACATCAGTAACGGAAATGATTGTGGGACCAATAGTTCTACAACTGGTAAATTCTGCATGTTTGGAATGAAAACTATGATCGTCTGAGATTATTCTCAAACAAATTTTTAAATAAACATTTGTGATATTTTTTCAATATTTGTGATTAATTGTAAAAAGAATTTGTTAAGAATTTAGTTATGTCCTTTGTTCTGATGAGCTGACAATTTAAATTTATTTCAATAATTGTTTAGTTTTTACGAAAATGTCAAGAGTTTTATTTAAACCAACTAAAACCGAGTAAATATATTTTTAATAATGTTCATCTTATACTTTGCAGGTTTAGGTCTTTCAACAAAAAAGAAAAGGTATATTAAATAAAGCATTTGTAAAGTATGTAAATCAGTATTTATTTTTTACTCATGCATTTTCAAAATATTTATAAACCAAACAATATCAAACCAATATTGAACGTGTCATTTGAAGTCAAAATTAAGTAATAAATTTTTTCAATTTTTTCATTTTCAAAGTGAATGCCGAATGAATCCAAGAAAAATGTTTTAGATACATTTCTACTTTATCATTTCATAATCTAAACATAAGTAGTGGAAAATATATGAGCAAACATATTTGTATCTGACCGAAGGAAAACAGTATTGCAAGTAAAATTCGCAATTTATTTTGGCTTCAGTTTTATGCACTAGAAAACTAGAATTTATTGTCTGCATGCTAAGTTCGTTTAATGTGCAAGCCTCTGTAGCAGCGGGGATATACTCGTCCTGGTATTTGATTGTGCGCTCCAAATCTATGGCGAAGTAAGCATCAAAAAATGCATAAAACACGTAAAAAAAATAAAGATACAAAAAAAAATTATTCTGATTCTGATCAAATAAAATTGCAATGAGAAATTATTCTTTGACTACTAGAACAATAAGCTAAATATTCATATTCAAAATAATCGATACTTTCCATACATGCTCAGTTTTCTTGAATCTGAAAATATAATCACGACTGCAGTTGCTCGGTATATACAATATATGTATATTAATTATAAACTGAACATAAAGGCATTGAACTAGGCATAAGCCCGGTCTGATATATATATATATAAATTATAAGCTGAACATAAAGACATTGAACTAGGCAATGGCCAGTCTATTTAAATTTTGTCATAGTCGATTTTGGTTAAGGAAAGGATTGGTAAAATACAATATCAACTAAATTCCTATTAACAAAATTTGAATAGGTCAAAGTAAACTTCATTTTCACCGATTATTTATACAAAAAGACGCATCTCTGGATACGCAATATAAGATTTTTAATAAAAAAATAATTTATAATTTTTCAAAAAAACCTTTTTGGAGACAGTAACTTTCTAAAACTCATTGAAACACAAAGATATATTAGCCACGGAATTAAAATATGCAAATTTGATATATTAACTCATACCTAAAACTTTAAATGAATTTTTTTGAAAAATATTCCGTCCCAGGAATACTGGGAGAGAATATTTTCTTGGATACACGACATACAAGCCAAAAGAAGTAGTTGCGCAAAAACACTGCACTGTTTACAACCACTTTTCAAACACAACAACCTTAGCGCGAAAGCTAATCTATAGCCAGATAATTAGACTAGCACTACTTTATATGTGTGTCGCGTATAGCAAAGCTGCCGACTCACTATCCAAAAGGTACAAGTTGCTCAAAATCATGCTCTTCTAAGGCTGTTCATAGTGCCATGGTACATCCGCACGAATGACATGCTAAGAGACCTTAGAATAGATCCGGTCAAAAAGCTATATGCGAAAACCGACAGACTGCCCTACTTAGCACTATCTAATCTCAGAGTAATCACTAACCGCAGGGTGCGGTAGGTAGACCTTAGATCAATCATTGAATAATCACGAAGATAATGAGGAACACTCAAATTAGTCAGTGAGATGGGTGGGACTTCGCAGTAGCCTCCCAGCCATCATAGAGTAAAAGTGCCCAGATGCACTAACTCGAAAAAGGCTCAACATAAACGACATTTTGACACGCCATATCTCATAAAATTTTGGAAGTAAGCTAAATTTGTTTTTCAGTTTTAAATTACGTTTGTAAGTTAAAAGAAACAAAAACGAACACCCTGTATATGCCAAACTTAAATGTGTTCCACTAAGTTTGAAATGTACTCTGTAAGCGTGCCGTATTTAAATATATTTTGTTATATACAATATTTAGTACACATTCACGATTTACATGTACAAGGCATATGTGGGCCAATGGGAATGAATATATTCGACAAACAACTTGTGATCCTTGTGTATCTATTGAATTGTACCATAAATTTTATAGTACTTGACATAGAACAGATAGACTAAAATTTGCTCAAGATTTAAGTGTTATGGAACAAAAATTTTATTAGATAAAATACGAGCGCTGAATTTCAGAAAGACAACCAGATTTACTTAAAAAAAAAGATAAGATAATACAAGATAACAGATAAACTATTATCCAATTTAATAACGGAGAAAAAATTAAATCTAATTTTCAAAAATTATACAATTGCTTTAGATAAGTACCAAACAGTTAATAGAATCGGGGGCTCCAATTGCATGTATATCAAAAAAACTTTAACTGGAGATATTTTGGTCTTCATTCATCAAATGGCTAAGTGTGTTCTGTTGATTGCGAATATGTCCCCTATACTAAAGATGATGATGAATTTCACTTTGAGACTTTTTACGATGCCTTTTAAGACTTTCTCAAACTCAGGTCTTCATATTCTAAATAGAATTATGAGTATTTTATTCGTCAGCTTTCAAATATGAAGCTCCAAGACTCTAAGTTGCACTGATTCATTAATAACAGATCCTGCCTATGCCTAGAGTATCAAGTACTCTTGTATAACAGCATCATAAAACCAATATAGACTTATGGTATTCAGCTGGTTGGGTTGGTTGGTTGGAGTGGCGGCCCTGTTTACCAGCTATTTGGTAATGCTAATGCTTCAAATATTGAAATTATCCAAAAAACACAGTTAAAAGTACTGAGATCAATCACTGGTGCCCCATGGTATATTTGAAATGAAAGTATCCACCGAGATCTACAAATTCCTTTAGTTAAAACTGTATTTGAAGAAAAATAAGAAAAAAAGTACTACATGTTAACCCCTTAGCTAAGAATCTCGCACTTCTATCCATTACTTCTGACCGTCCCGCCATTAAAATAGGTTTAAGTAAAAACTCCAGTCTTCTTTTTAGTAGCCTAATAGTGTATAGTATCTTAGTGCAAAATGTAGTATCTTTTATGTAAAGAAAAAATTAAATAAATTATTAATATTTAGTTTTTGCAAGCATGCAATATAAATGAAATTGCGTCATGAAATTTTCTCGGTTAGAGAAAGTGGTATATATAGCTATTGATAAGTATTTGACTTCCTTCCACCTTTGGTGTCAAATTTTAAAAAAGGTGCAAATTCCTATATTTTAAACATGAAAACTAGTTCAAGAACACTTTGTATGAATTTAGTTATGCTGAAATGGATGACCATACAGTGGAGCTTTGAACCATTTACATACTGCTAAGACTAGCTAAATTTGTTGACTTTATAGTTGTAAATTTCCTTTTGTTTCTTATTGTTTTCGTCCTTTTGTTTATTTGCATTGTGAGCGTGCTTTTTATCTTTGTACCTTAGAAATCTGAAAGCCAATTTGTGCTTGAAACCGAAGCAATGCACCATTACGGCTGCATACGTTATTGACACTGGCTGCTGCATTTAACATGCAACAAAACACCGTACCACTGCTGTGAGTATGTTGGATGTCCATCCGAGAAGGGTCATCTGTTTACAACATGCAATACGACTAGATATACCTTCAAATGTCATATCTTGTCTTCAACTTCAGCAATTTACTTCAGTGCTCAATTTTCTATGTGCTCGGCATATTGGCACACGAAACGTTTGCTCAAGTGTCACTACTAAATTTTATATCCTGCAAAATGCAAGAAAATTTTTAACCATTCATATCCTGCCACAATACGGACTACTAGCGCTCGGGTGCTTTGTAAGAGATTTTTCATTATTTGTAGTCGGAAGTGACTTTAAGAGGATTATGTATTGTCAAGGTGAATAATTGATGACAATTTCTGTGGTGTCTTCTGAAATGTTTCCTGCATTTTCCTAACCATTTTGCTTTTTTTGTATTTTATTCACTTTCTTTTTATTTAAATGTTTGCAGTTTTTCTTCGTTTTGGATTCCTGTTAGTTTACAGCTTGTTACTTTGGTGCTTTGAATATCAAGTTTTTATTTAATAAAATAGGAGAACCATGCCAAGAAAATGAACCATGTGGTCTTTTGCCACAACTTAACTTAGATAGTTAAAAACTTGATGGCATGGAAGGTTGACGACCAATTTTACTCATGGTAATTACTTATACCATTTTTCATAAACATAAAAGTTTCACTATCCACAATAAAACTATAAAAGGATAGGCAATCTCTATTAATAAATGATAGGAATAACGTTAGGGTGTGTAGGAAATAATAAAATATTAATTGAAAATATGCAAAGAAAATAACTAACTTTTGAGTTAGTTATTAAAAAGTTATTAGATTGTATCAGGTTTTCCTTAAATAAACCAAATTCTTTAAAATCAATAAAGTAATATGTAAATAACTAACATAAACTCCTATTCCGGATGATCAAGCAGTCGACTGTTTGTTTTCGATGTAAAGTAGACAATAAAATTTGTTATTTGAAAAACATCACGTTTCCATTCAAAATTGAGAAGATTAGAAAACTTTCATATGAAAAAAAAACTAAAAATAATCATCTATAAACTCTGAAAATATTGAATACTTAAATAAAAAATAAAGAGAATTGTAAACTCCGGAACGAAAATATTAAAATAATAACAACGGCATCACTTATCTTTAAAAAGAAATGCACTCTCTCAAATCTAATGCGCGGAAGATATGCTTCAAGTCTTCAAAGTATACTTCTATAAAATGATCTGAATTACTTATCATCAGAGTTCAACGGAGCTCTTATTACATTATATCATCTAAATGATCGCAGGCACTTTTGATTGAAATTGCTATAAATATTAACCCGCGTTTGATCAAGCAAAAAAGAAGACGAAGAATAAAAAATAAAATATAGATTTTTTTTAAAAGTACAGCAACCTTGTTGTGATACCACATAAAGACGTCAGACTTGTGACAGATTTGTTGACGGGTCACATTCGTTTAATCATACTTATCGCAACTGTATGTAGGATAGTAAAAGTGCCTC